CAATCATTACTGACCATACCTTCAGTTGCCATTAAGCTCTGGAATTCCCTCCCTGCACCACTCCACCCCTCTATCTCACTTTCATCCTTGAAGACATGCCTTAAACATAACTCTTTTACCAAGCATTTAGTCTTGGCCCTATTATCTCCCTATGTGGTTCAGTGTCATATTTTGTGCACAATGAAAAAGACCTTTTGACTTGTCTGACCCATAATGAATTGATGTTTCATCCCGCTCAGTTGATACAATGTTTTCCTTCATTTTCTGAATATCTGCAAAGCGTTCTTAAAAATATTTGAAAAAAAAGCATTATTTTTTCAGTTAAACTTTATTTTGAAGGTTATCCTTCCTGCCTTAAAGCACTCCTTAAAATGTACTTCTTTGACCAAGTTTTTAGTCATCTATCCTAGTATCTTCTTTTGTGGCTAAGTAGCAATTCTTTTCATAGTTATTTCATTAAAAGTTGCAATATAAATACAGGTGATGTTATTGTTAGTACAGTAGACAGTAATGAGGCAGGGTTGTTTTGAGCAACAGAAATTTATGGCTAATAAACTGTCAAAAATTTCTATGGCCTCAAGTCATGGGAAATTTGTCTGGAACTAATGAGGAAAGGGAGGAAAATCTGAACAGTAATAAAGGTTTTGGACAAAAGGGGACTTGATTTGGAGAGTGAGAGAGACTGGAGATGTAATTGTTCTTCTGTTTGCTATATCATTATGTTTCTGAAAAGCAATTATGGAGTAAGAAGTACAGCTTGTATAGATTAATTATAGAGGTAATCTATTCTGATATTAAAGCTGGACTAACTATCAAGTTTGTCATCATTTACTGGCTAATTGTTTTCCATACAAAATAGGCCATTGGAATTAATTTAGTGTTATTTACTGACCAATATTAATTTATTGTGAACATTTGTCTCTGAAATATTCATAGTCTGATATGTGTTATCTTCTGATAATTTGCAACCAAGCTTTCCTTTGCACATTATAAGCCTGGCTACATGAGGGTTGGCTACCCTTAAACAGTTGAGCGTTTGATAGTTTTCTAGTTTGGCATTTGGAGACAGAGTCGTAGGGATATACAGCATGGAAACAGACCCTTCGGTCCAACTCATCCATGCCAACCAAATATCCGATATAAATCTAAATGCTAGCATTTAAACTGTATGCCTCTAAATCCTTCCTATTCATATACCTATCCAGATGCCTTTTTAAATGTTGTAATTGGACCAGCCTCCTCCACTTCTTCTGACAGCTCACTCCATACAGGCACCACCCTCTGTACGAAGAAGTTGCCCGATAGGTCCCTTTTATATCTTTCCCCTCTCACCTTAAACCTATGCCCTCTAGATTTGGACTCCCCCACCCTGGGCTAAAGACCTTGCCTATTTACCCTATCAATACCCCTCATGATTTTATAAACCTCTATAAGGTCACCCCTCAGCCTCTGACGCTGCAGGGAAAATAGCCCCAGGCTATTCAGCCTCTCCCTATAGTGCAAAGCCTCTTATCTCGGCAACATCCTCGTAGAACTTTTTTGAACCCTTTCAAGTTTCACAACATCCTCCCTATAGGAGGGAAACCAGAATTGCATGCGGTATTCCAATAGTGGCCGAACCAATGTCCTGTACAGCTGCAACATGACTTCCCAACTCCTATACTTAATGCACTGATCAACAAAATTTAAGTAATTTCTTGGCAGTGCTGACATTAATATTGCTAAAATGAGGCACGATCGGTCAGCATGCTGCCTGTTGTACTCATTAAAAGGGATATGTTATTTAACCATCCACCAAAACTCATGCGTGTTGTGTGGTAACAAAGTAACTTTTTGGCTTCATGACAGCAACCTGTTAGTGGAGAATACCACTCGTGTTTACTACAAAGTGGCAGCATAAGACAGCATGTTTTTTTCAATTGCTTACATTTTTGAGACACCTTCTCCTTCCAGGGTAATCTGAAATAGGCTGGACACACTTCAGGGTCAAAAGTGTTGGCCTTGGGATCCTTCCTTGAGTTTGCGTGATATTTGCTATTTTTGCAAATATTTTAAGTACTGTAGAATTTCATTCGTTCCAATGGATGACTAGATCTCTTACTAAGTACTTTTTTGGACGTTTTCTGTCTTAAAGGCATTATATAAATGAAAGGAGCTGTTATAGACAAGTAACATTTAATTTCAGTAAAGAAGGGATAGTTCACTAGAGAGTTTTGCATTTCATTAACCACTTAGGAAACTCTTGTTTTTGAGCTGAAGTATCTGATCATGGACTCGTCTTGATATGAGTAAGTTGGTTGTTCTAATCATTTGAAGACCTGTACACTTGTTTATGAACATTGACTGTGGAATTCACATAGTTGGTCAGAATCACTATTTGTGACTCCTCAGGTACTGAAGCAGTCCATGTTCAAGTACAACAAGACCTCGTCAACATTCAGGCTTGGGCTGAAAAGTGGCAAGTGACATTCGCCCCACACAAATGCTGGGCAACGACCATCTCCAATAAGAGATAATTTAATCACCACCCCTAGACATTCAATAGCATTACCATAACTGAAACATCCTAGGGGTTACCATTAACCAGAAACTGAACTGGATTTGCATATAAATACAATGGCTATAAGTGCAGGTCAGAGGCTCGGAATACTGCAGTGAGTAACTCACCTGTTGACTTCCCAAAGCCTGTCCACCATCTACAGGCACAAGTCAGAAGTGTGATCTATACCACTTGCCTGGCCGAGTGCAGCTCCAATAAGATTTAAGAAGCTAAACACCATCCAGGACAAAGCAGTCTCCTTGATTGGCACCACATCCACAAGCATCCATTCCCTCCACCACCAACAGTCAGTAGCAGCAGTGTGTACTATCTGCAAGATGCACTGCAGAAATTCACCAAAGATCTTTAGTCAGCACCTTCCAAACCCACTTCCATCTTGAAGAACTAGGGCAGCAAATACTACAAACATCACCTATAAGTTCCCCTCCAAGCCACTCAATAGCCTGACTTGGAAGTATATCGCTCTTCCTTCACTGTCATCCTTCAAAATTCTGGAATTCCCTCCCTAATAGCAATTCCCTACCTACAGCACATAGACTGCAGCAATTCGAGAAGATAACACATCACCACCTTCTCAAGGGCAACCGGGAATGGGCAATATATGCTAGCTGGCCAGTGATGCCCACATCTGAGTAGTTTTTTAAAAAAAATCTTCAAAAAGCAGTAAAATGTTTTTAATAAGGGCTATTTTACCTGTCATTGGTTTGTTGAACTGATATTGTGTTACATTTTTACAAGCACCTCCTTCCCTTAAATGCCCTGAACTTTTTCAGTATTAGAGAATTCTTTGCATAAAACTGGGGTTTGCTCTGATTTACTTGTAAAACATGGCACAATTGCTGATTAAGTTGGGAGAGCTCATTTAACTCTCCCTAACTACAAAGCTGCACAGGTGCAAAGGCATTTTCACAAGTTTCACAAAATTTATTCAATTTTCCACAATAAGCACAGAACATGATAATTTGGTCAGCAGTTATTCATTTTGAAACATTGGCCTTAACCTTCAGTCTATGAGTGAAGACTCTCTACTGTTGTCTTGATGATTTGTTAAGTGTTTTACAAGTCCTTTTATAAACATTGTTCCCAGATTAGTACTGTGTCAGATTTGGTAAAACCCCCTCTCTGATTATCTGATCGATCAGTAAATACCAAACTGCCCGTCCACAGTGACACTTTAAACCTGGTTTATGTCATTGTCATTCAAAGGACTACCATATTCATGCTTCGTTGTTAACTTTGTGGAATCCTTCACAAAGCTCAAAAGAAATGGTTATACGTTGATCCGGTACTGCCCCACAGTTTATTTATCAACAGTAACCAGTTACTGTTGTTAATATGCTCTTGTATGCATTTCAAAGCTACTAGATAAGGCAGAGCAAGTTTGTGTGGCTCTGGCAGCTGAGTCTGTACCTCTGATTTAGAAGGGCTGTGTTCAAATCCCACCTGCTCCAGAAGTGTGTCATTAACACATCTGAACAGGTTGATTAGGTTTTTCGCTTGACTGTTACCAATTTTTATAGATGCCCTGTAGAAAACATTCTAACCAGATGCATCACAGCTTGATATGGCAACTGCTCTGCCCAAGACCACAAGAAATTAGAGAGTTGTGAATGCAGCCCAGTCTATTATGAAAAAAAGCCTTCCTTCCATTGACTCTGTCTACACTTCCCACTTCTTGAGGAAAGCAGCCAGCATAATCAAATAACCCTCCCACCCTGGTTACACTCTCTTCCACCCTCTTCCAGAAGGGACAAAAGATACAAAGGTTTGAAAACATAACAACAGATTTAAGAACAGCTTCTTCCCCACTGTTATCAGACTTATGAACAGACATCTCATATGAGTGTTGATCTTTTCCTGCACACTCTCTGTAGCTGTAACACTATATTCTGCATTCTGTTGGATTACCCTGATGTACTTATGTAAAGTTTGATTTGCCTGGTTTAGCGCACAAAACAATACTTTTCACTGTATCTCAGTACATGTGACAATAATAAATCAAATCAATAAAAAGGTATAGTTTGTACTGGTTAAAAGGCTAACAGCCTACCTAAGGTTATCCACTGTCTAATGATTTTTAAAACCAGGTATATTCATGGCCTGAGCTTTTTCCATCATTTCTCAACACATCATTACTTGCATAGAACTTTAGCTAACATCAAATGAATTTATCCATCATGTGTTGCAGCAATGATGTGTGCACGATATAAATTTCAACATATACCTAAAGATATGATAACTAAGTTCTAATAATGCTATAATAAAATAAACTCAATACAAAGCAGTAACAAAAATCTGCACTGATCTATATAATGTTTCTGCAGCGTTATGTATAAAATAGATAGCTGATTGAAGAAACTCCACTTCATAACTCATTCTCATAATTTTGTTAATGGCCTGAATTTGCACAGGTATATAATTATTGCTTCTGTTTTCATAGTTTTGGCATCTTCTGGTATTGATTATGATGTCAAGATCTGGACACCATTAGAAGGAATACCAACTTTTGACAGAAAACTTGCAGAAGAGGTATGCAATCAGTTTTAGTAAGGTTTGATCACATAAAAGTGTAAGATTTTTAAAATGAGGTGTATCTGTTTCTAAGAACAAGCTATTGTGTAAATTAGACCATTATCACCGGTTCATGGCCATGAAACATTCCTTTTGTATAATTTAAAGATGTACTTACAGCACCAGCTGAGATTACCATGAAGGACTCTCCTTCTCAATCTCTCCCTTCGCCTGAAGCATGGTGACCCTCACCAGTCCATTTCTCTCGAGAGAGCAGCCCTGTGTGACTATGGTGACATTTTAGCTGTTTTATCCTTAAAACTAAGCTGCTTTTAGAAAATTAGATTGGTGAAATGACTTGTATAATTACCAAACTGCCTATCCATGATGATACTTTGAACCTAGTTGCTGTCATTGTCATTCAGGGGACTACAAGAATTGTGCTTTCGTGTTAACTCTGTGGAATCCCCCACAAAGCTCAAACTAAAAGGTCATGTATTTAGTACAGATTTTCTTTTCTGTAAAATATTTTCTAGTAGATTAGCTATCTACAGTCCTCCATGTATGTTTATCTAACACTCTCTTGCACGTTTTTCGGATGAGTTCAGGACACTTTTGACGCATGGGAGTATAATTTTATAGGTATTATTGAGACATAGCTGAAAGAAGGAAGAAATGCAATTCATCACTCCTAATACGACTTGAAGTTCATATCAAAGAGGGGTGAGAGAGGATGAGGGATGTTGCAGTATTGTTAAAGACAGTTATAGTCAGAGTCCCTACAGTGTGGAAACAGGCCCTTCGGCCCAACAAGTCCACACCGACCCTTGAAGCATCCCACCCAGACCCATCCCCCTATAACCCACACTCCCCTGAACACTACGGGCAATTTAGCATGGCCAATCAACCTAGCCTGCACATCTTTGGACTGCAGGAGGAAACAGGAGCACCCGGAGGAAACCCACACAGACACAGGGAGAATGTGCAAACTCTGCACAGACAGACACCCAAGGCTGGAATCGAACCCGGGTCCCTGGCGCTGTGAGGCTGCAGTGCTAACCACTGAGCCACCATACCACCCCCATGTTCGAATAGCAATGAGGAGAGAGAATCTGATGGAAGGATCATCAAATAAGAATATGTGGGTTGAACTGAAGAAATAAAAGGGGCACTCCCACCGCTGGGAGTGGACTATACATCCCAAAACAGCCAGAGGGCAATAGAAGAACAAATATGTAGATAAATCTCTGAGAAATATAAGAAAACAATAGTCATAGGGATTTCAGCTGTATGGATATTTGTGGGATAGAACTAATGTTCACGTGAGGGACTGGTGTAGTGGCGTAGTGTAATGTCACTAGACCAATATGACACAACTATTGCTGTGGAGTAATGGGTTCAAATTCCACCAAAGCATCTGGTTGAATTTACATTGAGTTAAGAAATTTGGAATTAAAAGCTAATCTAATTATGACCGTGAAATCACAGTTTGTTGTCACAAAAACCTATCTGGATCACTATTATTCCTTCAGGGTAGGAAACTTGCACTCCTTATCTGGCCTGGCCTTCATGTGACTCCAGACGCATAGCAATGTGGTTGACTCTTTACTGCCCTCTGGGCAATTAGGGTTGAGGAATAAATGCTGGCCTAGCCATCGATACCCTCCCCCCATGAATGAATAATAAAAAATAGCAACGACAAACCCAGCTCTGTCAGCCCTACAAAGTCATCCCCTTTAATATCTCATGGCCACTGCTAAAATTAAGTGAGCTGTCACAGACTAGTCAAGTGTCAGGAACATACTCTCAGAAATGTGTCTGCTAAACAATGTCCCAGGCACCGCTATCACTATTAGTGCATATGTTCTGTTGCACCAATAGGTTAGACTCACTAGAAGTGGCAAAGCCATTGTATGCAAGGAGTATTCAGATAAAATTGTGTTGCTGTAAATCACATCTTTAAGTGAACTGACTTCAAATTAATCATTGATTTCTATGGGCACCCATGTTAAGACCAGTATTTCCTGCCCAGAAAAGAATCGGTACAAGTTGAAGTATTGTACCAGTTGCAGAACTGTTATTTCTACCTGAAATAACATTCAAAATAAATTAAATCACTAAATTATAAATTAAATAACACATTCAATGCAATACAATTAGAGTGCTTAAGAAGAACTCACCTACAGTGCTGTACTTTCAGATTGACCAGACTCCATCTAATGGCAAGGTCAGAAATCACATGACACCAGGTTATAATCCAACAGGTTTATTTGAAAACTCAAGCTTTTGGAGCCTCAGTCCTTCTTCAGGTGTTAATTAACAAATAAGTTAGTTAATAAATTAGTTAACAAACAAACAAGTAAACAAACAAAATGAGTTTCAAATAAACCTGTTGGACTATAATCTGGTGTCGTGTGATTTCTGACGTTGTCCGCCCCAGTCCGACACTGGCACCTCCACATCACATCTAATGGCTGATATTGGTCAGCACAGGTATATGCTGGCCAAGATGATCTGCGCTGACCAGCTTTGGCCACTAAATGGAACCCAGCACTTTACTTCAGAATGGGAGGTGGGGCACAGAGCTGCTGAAGAACAGATCAGGGCTAAGGGGATTAAAAAAAAGGCATGTCCTCCCCAAATTTAGCATATTAAAGCTTTGAAACAGCCTAACAGTTCAAGGAAATATCATAGAATTCCTGTTAACTAAAGGGTTAAAATGTTGTGCATTTCAATGATTCTTCAAAAAGCAATGAGATGGATTGTTGCATAAGAATACAGCATAGCAGAAGAGAAATTGTTATAATTTGCTGTATCTCACTCCTGTCTTCTGATGGCCTAGTGATCTGGGGGGAAGGGTACAATCCCTGCAGCAGAATGAGGAAGATTGAAGTTAGCTCTTGGTCCTCATTATAATGGAGCCAATGTGACATGAAAGCCTAATGTTGAAGAGTTGGATAATGTCAAGCTACTATTGCCAGCATCAAATTCAAAAGTTTGGGAATAGGATTAAGTCATATGCGTAGAAGCCTGGGACTCTGGAATGCAAATTTAGGAGTGCTGGCGATCAAGTAGAGTTTTAAATGCAAGGTCAGCAAGAGGTCAATTCAACTAAGGTACTTTCTTTAATGCATGCAATCATTAAGAAGGTTTTTCCCGAATGTACAATTGCTGGTTGCTTCAGGGTATCTCACCCTTTGACAGAGTTAGACTTCTTGCATGTGCAGGTAGGGGACCTAATGCGTGCTTTAGACATAGGAAGAGAACTTTTCATGTTGATTCTCAACCAAAGCTGTTCACTTCCAGCTAGAAATATGGGCGTACTTCCTACTCATCGTTTGGAGCCTTGTTAGTCTGAGTAAAACTTCCTTTAAGAGAAATGGGTGCTGTGTGTTCCAAATTCTAAGCCATTTGTGTGATAGAGGCTTTATATAAAAAGCATACATTCACCTGTTTCCCCTTCATTAAGAACACTGCAGCTCCATGCAGATCTAATTGAGTTGATGTCATTCTGTTCTGTTGTGGGCTGATGTGTAACATTTGACCTTTTTTTTTTAATCGAAAAATTGCTTGATGTTGTCAATCCATAAAATTACATTGCATTCCCTTCTGTTTCAAAGTATGGTGTTTAAATTAGCCATTACTGCCACAAGTTGCCATGTCAAGATCGATGAATCGATAAATTTCCCAAAATCTCACTCCAGCAAGGGTTTTCTTGCCCTTGAACTTTGATATCAACAAGACTTGCTATGATTCCAGCAAGTTTCGCAAATCTCTGCAGATTTACTTTAAGAAGAAAAATGGGCTGTCTTTATTGTTTTACTAGCGTTGCCACAATCTTCACATATAGTTTTGACATTTAATTTGAACGAAGCTGTAATGTTTAAAATCATAAACATGAAAGGAAAATCTCCACTTGTGGTGTGAGAGAATTTGTGGTTGCAAGCTGTTTTGTATTGACGGGAGTTTGTTGTGCACTAGTTTGTACAAAATGTCCTTGCCAATGTTTCGAGGATTGCACGACAAAATGGCAATAACGTTGACTTTTCCTTTGTGTATCAGGTGATAAGTCGCAATGAATTGATGTTGGAGGAGACTAGGAACACCATCACAGTTCCAGCATCATTCATGTTAAGAATGCTGGCTTCACTCAATCACATTAGAACAGGTAGGACAGAGTTCTATATTTCACAGCCTGTTATAGTGTACTTTTGAAATAAGTTTTTCTCCAAAACTTAGTTCAAAAATGCATCCTTAGCCTCAAAACTGGCACATATATAAATTGAACCAACTTAATAGTAAGTTGATTTTGGTATCAACAGCCTCTGCAAACATTATCTGGATTCAGTGTCTTAGATGGCATTATACAGTTGCATACTACAATAGTAATGTTGTCTCAGGTCATCCATCATGTGCCTTGTAACTCATAACACCACTCTAATGGAATCCTTGACATGAATTATGCCTTAAGTGAAGCCATAATGTTTTAGATGTTCCATGAATTGCATTTTTTTAAAAATAGATTTTAGCTGGGGACCCAAATCTGGATTCTAGGCACAGTTAATCTTTGTGCATGATTATTCATTAAATGGTGGGTTGAACTGATTTGACTGGTTCTATCTGGAAAGGTCAGCGTGCCTTTACCCTAATGCTTAAATATCTCTCCTGCTAGGTAACCAAAAACCACTATTGATGCTTTAGAGTAATTGCTGAGCTCATGTGTCTTGCCTTAGCATCTAAGGATACAAAAATGTTTGAAGTTTTTGAAGAAGAGAAAATTTAAAAGTCATGGTTAAAGGAAATTATTGAATGTTATTAAAGATGGAAGTTGAGAGATTAAGTCACAACATTCTTTGAGGGAAATGAAATAGTGCTATAAATATCTTTCTCTATTAGGCTTCCTTAATTAGTACTTAAATACATGGAGTTAATTAAGCCTGGGAACATGATTTGAATTTTCTTTATTTTTCATTAGCACATGTATTGGTCACACATGTTGCATTACTACATCTGAACCTGTTAATTTTCAGAGGAGCTACACTCCAGATTCTCGATATCTATCTGCCTGCACTTTGCTAGCCACTTACCATTTAATGTTTAAAATTTTATCTGATTTAGGCTAGTTGTATGTTACGTAAGGGTCAGGTTATCATCTGTTATAGTCGATGTTCTGATCAGTCATTCATTGACTCCAGGCTTATGACAGGATGTTGCATAGGTTAATTAATCAGTTGTATTCACCATCCTTAATGGCCAGAAACAGCCAGGTCATTACATTCGTCAACGGATTGTTATTTTTCAGGGACTGCCTCTACATTAATCTGCTGCTTTGGACATGATTCCTCTACCAATAAAATTTGATTAACAGCTCCTTTACTGAAACAAAAAGCAGTTTCCTGCCAGCTCTTCCTATCTGCCTGTGTCATTGTACCACTCAGTGGTCAGAGTACAGAGGTTTGCTATCGATACTGGTACAAGTTTGATGATGAGTTAGTGAAGTGTCTTATCTTTTGGTTTTGTATCTGAGGGCGTTGTGAAGTAGGTGTTCTATTATAACAAAAAAGTACTATATTGACTTTTCCACTAAATGTTTTCATCCAAAAAATTCAAGTTTGTAGTTTGAAGTGCCTAAGTTGCATGGTTTGATATATTTTCTTTCAGTATCTGAAAATTTAGACAGCATAAAAGGCTTCATAATATTTTCCGTCGAGTGGAGCATAAATGCCGCTGTGGACCGGTTGGGCTGCATGGACTGTTTCTATGCTGTATGTCCTATGTAATTGTGCAGATAAAGTCACATTACAGTAAGTGGAAAATGGGGCCTCGAAGCAGTCTTTGGGGAGATCAGCAAATTTGCTCACATCGTTCACCTATTTTTCACTTTCTTCATTAGAATTCACATCTTCAGGGTCCTAGAACAGAGCTATATTATCTTGAAACCGAACTATCTGGGGCTCTGAATATTTTGGTAGTACTATGAGGGGAATAAAGCTGTTCTGGTACATTAGCTAACAGTTAAAAATGTAATTGATATATCGCTTGTCCTTGTAGTCAGTGAACGGTACATAGACTTGGGGGGCCTTTTCTTTTGATCCGAGGAAAAGGGGGTCTTATGGGCATTTTCAACCCAGTACACCACTCAGAAACTTCCAATGTTCCTATGTGCTAAACTGACATTTCCTTTTACCAGAAGCCACGTTCTGGTGTGCTGAAAGCATGTTCTAAAGTAGCTCCATTAATTTACTCAAGTTTGTTTTAACCTGGCCTCCCTTTCAATTAGAGGTGCCCAAAATTAAAATCTTTACTTTCTTGTGTTTCATTTTTGGCAATTTGCAGCAGAGCTACGTTATTGAAGTAGCTTCAAATATTCAGTCCAAGATGGTGGTTCCGCAAGCAATAAAATGATTAAATGGAAGCCCTCTTACACAGCATTTTTTGAAATTAAATAGATAGCTGCTATTTCTGTAAACATTGCCTTTTGAAGTATATCAAATGAGTATACGCATACATGAATCTTCAATTCTGGTGGAGTTTAAACATTATATTGTTAATCTGTTATACCATCTGTTGCACAGATCGATTGGAAGGTGACCGGTCCGAAGGCTCTGGTCAAGAGAATGAAGATGATGAATAATTATTTGTCTGCTTCAAGAACAAAAAGCATCAAGAAATTTGTATAACAAAAAAATCCAGTATATTTTCCCTACAAAGCCTTAGTGTTATTTTAGTTCTTTTTTCTGGAAAAATACTTTAATATGAAAATTTCTTGGTGCAAAATGTGTGCATGAATTAGGATGAGGAAGGTGGGAAAGAATAAGCAAGTTGCTTTTAATTATTATGTTTTATGGATGAGATGCTTGGAGGTTTCAAGTGCAATATATTCTCTAGTGTGCAAACATATGTGCTTGGATCAGTGTTATGAGCATAGAGATTTACCAAACACTAGAAAAGGAGGGTCAAGATGAAACCTTTCTAAAATCTGCTGTTATGCATGTACACTGAGGGGAAAAATTCATTAAAACTTTTGGTTGTTTGAAAATAAATCCGTTTTATTATTAAGTTCAGATTCATAAAACCATAGCCTTCAAAGCTTAGTTACTTTTGCTGGATCATGAAAACTTTCATATGTTGAACTTCCAGAAATGGGCTAGAAGTTTTAAACTACATCTCAAAAGTTCATTATTGCACAAACACTGCTAATTATTGACCGAGTTCAATCATTTTAGAGCATGAACACCTCCTTCTGTGACAATCACCCCTCAACCCTACATCCCAGGACTTGTCACGACATGGGTTGCTTTCAGCATGGCCAATCCACTTTCACATACTCCTAGCCCCCATTATCGCCTATCTAGCTTCTCTTCCCTGGCTTACTATCAACAATCCGTTTGTCTGCCTACATAATTTCTCTCACTTAGTTCTGTCTCCACTTTTCACTCAGCCCGCCCCTCACTGCACCCTTCATCAGCATAAATACCACCTTTTCCCAGCTCCTATCAGTTCTGAAGAAAGATCAGAGTACTTGAAACATTAACTCTGTTTCTCTTTCTCTACAGATGCTGCAGACCTGCTGAGTTTCTCCAGCAAATTGTTTTCATTTGTATCAAATTTGATAAGATGTAGTAAATCAAAGTGTAGAACAAAGGCAAAAAAAAAGGTATTAATGAGAAAAATGATAAACAGACTGTGATAGGAAGAGATACAGAGCAAAAAGCCAAGTCAACAGATAAGACTAGATGTGGAAAACAAAATAACACTAATCATCTATATCTGATTTGTACAAAGCAGTCAAAAACAAATAGAATGAACTGTGTACTTATTTCCCATTTGCACAATCTGGTAATCATTATTTAACATGGGTGCAGATTAACATGGATAGAGACCCAAATCTTGAAGAGTGGAAGAGATTTAGGGAGGATAGGAATTGGAGGGGTGATAGTGTTAGTTCATGATGTCTCAACAGGGAGACAAGTTCAGGGAACTAGGATGTGGGAACAGTTTTGGTAGTGATGAAAATGATAAAGTAAAAAGTCACTTGTGGGAGTGGTACACAAACTCCTTAATAGTAACTACACAATAAGGTAGTGTGTAAATGAATAAATAATGAGAGCTTGTCAGAAAGGCACAGCAATAATCATGGGAGTTTTAATTTGCATACAGACTGGAAAAGTCAGATAGACAAAGGAAGCTTAGGTGAGTTCAAGTTTAAATTTCTTAGTACAGCATGTCCCAGAACCCACCACCAAGCAAATTATAGTAGAACTAATATTGAGCATTGAGTTAGAATTCTATATTGGAATTTTACAGTCACTTTTAGGAGGAGTGGATTTGAGACATTTTTTTTAAATTTTAAGAAAGAGCAGTTTTGACAGCATGAAAGCAAAACTGGTTGAAGTGAATTAAGAAATCAGCTTAAAGAATAGGTCAATAGAGAAGAAGTGGCTGACAAGGAATATTTCTGAATATGTGTTCCAACTAGTAAGAAAAATTCCAAAGGATTGTCCCATATCTGTGGTTAACTAGAAAGGTTAAAGATAGTATCACCCACAGCAGTGTGGTCAACTCTTAAGTACCCTGCGGGATGAACAATAAATCCTAGCCTAGCCAGCGATAATGTTGTTCCCATTAATAAATTAATTGAGAAAAACACAATTTTGCAGAGACAGGTGGCACATCAGAAGATTGGACAGAATAAAAAGAAATAATTAAAAGGAAAGCAAAATTAGAGTATGCAAGAAAGCTATTTAGCAATATAGAAACAAACATGGATAGAGCTTCAATATATATACATATTTTTAAAAAGTTGAAGTGAGCATTGCTCCAATACAAAATGAGTCTGGAGAACTGATCATTGAAAATAGATATGACAGGTGAATTGAACAATTATTTTGCATTAGTCCTCTCTGTAGAGGATATAAGTAACATCTCAGAACCAGCGACAAATCAGGAAATGGGAGAAGGGGAAGAACTGCAGAAAATCCCTATCACTAGAGAGGAGATACTGAGTAAATTGATAGTCATGAGCCAACAAGCACTGGGTCCTGATGGACTTCATCTTTAGGGTCTTAAAGTGAGTGACAGTTTTAATTTCTCAAAGATTCCAAAATTTTGGGAGAAGTCTCATTTAGATTGTAGGCTAGCAAATGCATCCCATATTCAAGAAACCAAGAAACTACGGGCCAGTTAGCTTAAATGTCATACGGTGCATTATTAAAGCTGCAATTAAAAGTTGATAGTGCATTTGGATAAGTTCAAGGTAATCAGGCTGACTCTGTATTTTTGTCAAGGGGAAATAGTGTTTAAATAGTCTATTGAAGTTCTGTGTGGAAGTAACATGTACTGTGGATGAAGAAGAACTACTTAGATGTCCAGAATGTATTTGATAAAGTGTTACATCAAAGGTGACAGCTGGAAGTAAAATCTTGATGTACAGGGTAACATACTGGCATGGACAGAAGATTGCTAGTTAATTAGAAGCAGGCAGACGGTGTAAATGCTTTGTTTCCAATTTGGAAAAAATGTAACCAGTGGTTGGCCACTGGGATGAGTGCTGGGAGCTCAACTGTTTATAAACAACTTGAATGAAGGGATGGAAGGCATGGTTACCAGATTTTCTGATGACACAAAGATAGGTAGAAAAGTAAGTTGCGAAGAGGAAACATGGTGACCGCAAAGGGATGTAGACAGGTTGGAGCAGTGTGGAGAATAATGTTTGAAAATGTGAAATTGTCCATTTTGGCAGGAAGAATTTAAAAAATGCATATTATCTAAATGGTGAGACTGCAGTGGGATCTGGGTGTCCTAGTACACAGGTACAGTGAATAATTAGGTAAGCTGCTAATGTTACTTCTTGTCAAGGGAGTTGCATACATATGTTTCAGCTACATAGGTCACTGTTCAGACCACACCTGGAGATCAGCGTACAGCATTGTTCACCTTATTTAAGAAAGGCGGAAAATGTCTGGTACACTGCGTCAAGAACAAATACCTGGAATGGTGGATGGGTTGTTTTGCGGTAAAGTTGGACAAGCCAGGCTAGTTTCTATTGAAGTTTAGAAACATTAGGTGATTTGACTGAAACATACAAGATCTTAAAGGATTTCCAGGGTGATATGGAGAGTATTTTGCCTCTTACCTAGAAGTAGGGTCACCATATAAAAATAAGAAACTGCCCATTTAAAAACAAGTGACATTTTTTTCCTGAGGGTCATGAATCCCTGGAACTTTCCCCTTGAAAATGTGGTGGAAGAGATATTCCCGAATGGGTGGATAGATTCTTGTTGAACAGAGTATGAAAGGTTGTTGGGGTAAGTGGAACGTGGATTTACAATTAGAATTTACCATCCATTGAACAGCAGCCTTGGATCATTCTTGTTTAAATTAATTTTGCTATCCTCCTCCTAACTCCATATCCCATAAAATAGTCTTCAATAGTGTCGCATGTTTGTAAAGCAGGTTTGTAAATGGGGCACAAAATTCCCTTGGATGGCTGTCCATGATTTTATACCGGGTAGGTGGACTCCAGTTGGAGTGGTCCACTGAAGGCCCTCAACTTGCGGGGACAGAAAGGGAAGCCTGGCCTGGTAATTCCTCTTTCAGTCGCTAATATGCAGCCAATCAGATTAACTGGCAACTCGGAGGTAGGACCACTGGATGAAAGTCCTGCTTCCAGCCAAATAAAACTCCTTACACCACTAAATACCTACGGCACTGTGATCGCATGGAGGCAATGAATCTTCAGGTGGCAACTGTATCCCATTTCTGAAGAAGGGTCTAAGCCCAAAACGTCAGCCTTCCTGCTCCTCTGATGCTGCTTGGCCTGCTGTGTTCATCCAGCTCTACACCTTGTTATCTCTGTATCCCATGCTACTTGTCATATGATTAATAAGTATAATATTTTAAACCAGTGTGGAAATGAAAAGTCAGACTTTAATGTAACTTTTCAGGTTTATTTTAATACAAAAATGGTAATAACATCTGCCAACCGTTTTAACTGATTAAATTTTTCAATATATTTTAGTTTGAAGCACATAACCCATATCATTTAATTGTCTAAGACATAAAGAATTGAATATCACAACTTGGAAACTAGTAAACAGTCTCCTGTGAGCAACTGCAAAAGTACAAGGGCACATTTACTATAATTTGAATGGTGTAACTCTTAACAGTCAGCTATTTCATGGTTTGGCTTCTGCTCCATTCCTATTGGTTCTAACCTTTCCATGGGCATCCAAAACCTTTTCTTTTTAAAAAAAGACTAATAATCAAGACATTACCAACGGGAAATGAACTTCTAACAAGGCTTGAATAGAGGATTTAGAAACCCAAAACAGCAACAAGTTTGCTGAATCAGAACTTTCCCTTTATAGCCAATTGTGTAGCTGAAAGTTCAGATACTGTCATTTTTTTTAAAAACATTACAGCCCGACATTTTATTGCATTTACTCAACCTTAATCTTGCCACTGTCACTGGTGTTACCAGCAGCTATGGCTGGAAGTAAGGAATAAATCTTTAGTGGTTTTCTGCTTTTTGGGATTAGTAAATCCCAACATTCTTCCTCTTTAAGAATCTCTTTTGAAGAAATTAATTCTGTATGTTAAACCAAATTATAGAAGTAGGTATGTTTGAATGTACATGGATGTCAAATCTATAAACTCATTTCTTTGGCTTCTGTCAAATTTTATCTTTCTACCACTTAAGTTCCTCTCCAATCTTTTTTTTAAGAATATTGAGATAACAATACAAATAAATGAAAGCATAGTAACAACCACTAACATTTATTTCACCATGTTAGCTGGCTGAGGCTTAAGGTTGTTTCAAACCTTTCAAGCACTATCTTCCTCTGCACCGTCATGAACAATTCCTTCATCAATACTCTCCAGCCGCAATCTCTGACCTGCAGAGACTTTGTTTCCTTTATTGGTACCTCCAGGCCTGGTTTTAATAATAGTAAACAAATCTCCAGGTAAACTACTCTCTCCAAAAAGGCTCATTTTGGCATCTGTCTCAATAGCTTTGGCCAAACTGGCAGCAAAATTATCCAGCGTTTTATGAACATCTGCTTTGATTTGCAGGACTGAAGACTGATCAGGTTCCTCTGCAAAAGAATAAGATTGAATTAAAAGCATTTCTGCCCCTTTACTATATAAGCTGAACATTACCTTTTTTAATGCCTGTCAAATTTCTTGCTGCAATACTGTTCAAACAGGCTAACCACACTGATCAAGTTTTCCCAGTTGTCAAAATTGAATCTGTTAATTTAATCATTTATGATAGGGCCTACTATCAGCACAGTCATGGATCTCAACGGTGGCAAGTGACAAATTACTTTTCAGTCTTCATAATTCTAACAACCACACACAAATCTCAACAAATGGTATTAAAGGTTATCGTATAAGGGTGTGGGGCACAATATACACTGTTCTATAAGTATTGTAAGTGGCTGATAGAAGACATAGCTCAAAATAAGTGTGCAACGCATCCTTCCTATGTACTGCAGTTGCTGCATGTCTGTGCCATTGACACGGGCAAAGAAGTTTAAATAGAATCAAATGTATTTGTATGGTTAGGGCAGTGTCTGTGTCCATACTTCAGTTAAGTGAGTGCCAATGCACATTCTGTCCTAAATTGTGTTATGCACTGTGCCATCATTGGTAAGTTCCTGTTACCCTCTCTTTGCCTTTCAAGGTTAAGAAGCAGAAGTAGACCCTATGGCCCCCTCAACTTGCTCTGCTATTCATTATGATTTCTGACCTCGAGTTTACCTGGTTTACCCCATAATTTATAGTTCCTAGTGTCAAAACTTTCTTGAATGCACTTAGCAACTGAGGAATCAATGCAGTGAACGTTCTCTGCACCACTTCAATTGAAAATATATTTATCTTCAGGTAACGAGATCAAAAAACTTACTACTCCAGATGTGGTCTTCACAACATCTTACACTTCAATTCCAACACCCTTGTAATAAAGGTGAATATGGCATTTATATTCCCAAGTCCTCCTGGACATGCATGCTAGTTTTGTGCTTCTTGTGAGAGGTCATCCAGATCTCCGAATACCCTGCCTGAGGCAGGAAAGCTCGCAGTTGGCCAGATTATTGGTGATAAAGTGAGCAGCTAGCTAAGGAGCCATAAAAGCCAGAGAAATACATCTGCCACTTGGAAATAGAATTGTACCCACTAAGTTATAGCTAATCTGCAAGCAATAGCCCAATATGTAGATTAATTCTACCTGGGTAAAATCTAGCAAGTCAAAACTGAATTTCTGTGGCCATCAGCACCAGCAGAATTGTAGATATTTTCTAACCAAACTATTCAGGGATATACTGCACAGCCCTGGAACAAGTAGCATTAAAACCTAAGCCTCCTCGTTCAGTGGTAGGGCCTCTGGCCACTACATCATAAGAACCTCCTACAGCAGAACTGTATTCAACCACAATCTGTAACCTCTTGACCTGATATGATCTGGCATCCTACCAATACCATCAAGTCAGGGATCAAACCTGGTTCTATTAAGAGTGCAGGACGGTATACCTAAAAATGAGATGTCAATCTTTGGAAGCTATACAACATACAGATTACCCACATGACAAACAGTAGAGGCAACATCTGACAGACAGAGCCGAGAGGTCCTACAACCAGAATTCTGCAGCCCTGAATGGTGCTGGATGATTAAACAACTAACAGGAGCAAAAGACTCCACAAATAGCTCCATCCTAAATGTGGAGGTGCTGGTGGTGGACTGGGTTGGACAAGGTCAGAAATCACACAACACCAGGTTAGAGTCCAACAAGGTTATTTGTCCTGAGAGAACTAAAAGGTTTTATCAGTGTAAAGAAGAGGTGACATTTTAGGTCAGACAAATAGAATTTGTTTAAAAAGCACACAATTTATAGAGAGTCAGTCAATGTGGCATTTTATAAATTCCTACTTTAGAAATAAAACCAGCCTGACTCCAAACCAAAACAAACAGATTCTCAACAAGGCCACACACCTAACATGTATTGTCTGACCTAAAATGTAACCTCTTCTTTACACTGATAAAACCTTTAGTTCTCTCAGGACAATGACTTGAAAGGAATTCTGGGATTTACATATACATATTAATCAGTTAAAACCTTCTAACCGATTAAAGATTTAACAGCATCTTAGGTTTGTTTAATACATCCTCATCTGTGGTGTGACCCTTTGATCTTTTACGTACAAATTCTGTGTCTGATACTACCTCTCTCACTAACACCTGGAGGAGGAGTGAGGCTCCAAAAGCTTGTGTTTTCAAATAAACCTGTTGGACTCTAACCTGGTGTTGTGTGATTTCTGACCTTGTCCACCCCAGTCCAACAGCGGCACCTCCACATTTAGGATGGAGCTATTTGTGGAGTCTTTTGCTCCTGTTAGTTGGAGGAAGTGGGAAGAATTGAAGGAAATGTTTTCAGGGTGAGGACTAGTTCGGTGAGCTGGAAGAGAGTATTGGTGGGGGCAGTAAGATCTGGACAGGTCTGTGGAAAAAACTGAGGGTCTGTAGGCCGTTCTTGTGGGTATGGACATGTACAGGGATTGCATGTCCATAGTAGCTGTGAAGTGCTTGAGGCCAGGGATCTGCAAGTTTCCAAAGAGGTGGAGGGCTTGGTTGATGTCCTGGATGGAGGTGGAGTGTGCCTGGACCAAGGGGGAAAGAATGGAGTCAAGGTACAAAGAGATGGGTTTAGTGGGGATGCGGAGACAATGGGTCGGCCAGGGTAGTTGGGCTTGTGGATCTTGGGGAGCAGGCAGAACCAGGCAGTGTGGGACTGGTGGACTGTAAGGCTGGAGGCGGTGGAGGGGAGGTCACTGAAAGTGATGAGTTCACGGATAGCATAGAAGACGGTAGCTTGATGGACCACGGTGGGGTTGTGGTCAAGGGGGGAGGTAGGACGTGGTATTGGAGAGTTGGCGTTTGGCCTCTGCGACACAGAAGTCCGTCCTCCAGACTACCACCATCCTTCCTTTGTCAGTGGGTTTGATAGTGAAACAGGGATTGGGGCAGAGAGAGTGCAGTGTTACACGTTCGGAGGGGGAGAGGGTGGAGAAATTGAGGTGGTCGATGGTGCATTGGCAGTTAGCGATGAAGCAGTCCAGGGCGGTTAAGAGGCTGGTAGGGAGTGTCAAAGAGGAGGAGGAAGGTTGGAGGCAGGAGAAGGGGTCCCCAGAGGGCGTTTGGGAGTTTTATCGAAGGAGGAGGAATGGGGGCAGGGGGAGGTGGTAGAAGAGTTCCACGCCGTGGCGGGCACAGAACCCAGTGAGGTGGGGGCAGGGGGGCACAAACATGAGCCCTTTACTAAGGGCAGACTGTTCAGCCTCAGAGTACATGGTTGGGGGCATTGTGAATATGCAGCAAGGTTAAGGGGTGGGGTGGTGTCTCGAAGAGGCTGAAGGCGGGGTGGAGGGAAAGGCGATAGCACATGATAGGCGAGGGTTAGACACAGTGTGGTGGGGCGGGGTGAGTGGTTGTGGGAGGGAAAGGAGAGTGGGAGGGTAGTGGGCTGGGCAGTGGGATGGAAGATTGGAGGGGGGGAGGGGTGTGGGTGAGATGAGGTGAGGAGGGAGGAGAGGTGGAGGGCAGGGAGTATTGTGGCAGTGCACGGATGTGGAGGGAAGAGGAGTGCTAGCTAGCTGCAGGTGGGCAGTAGGACCCAGGAGTGACCCTGAGATAGGAGTCCATGTATTGATTGGAACGTGCGCGGAATCCAGAGTGGAAGTGGAAGTGGAAGTTGCAGGGAAGTCGAGGCAGGTCCCAGTCCTTTCGTCCACGGAATCCAGGGCAATGTTTGTGGAGTCATCTGAAGCAGAGACAAAGGTTGAAGGTAAGTTCCTGTAGATCCTGTTCGATAGTTACAACCATCTTCATTAAGATATAGGAGTGGATGATCCACCTCGGCCTCCTCCTGAAGTTCCCGGTACCATAGATGCATATCTTCAGCCAATTTAATTCACTCCATGCATTATCAAGAAACAGGTGAAGGCATTGGATACTTAAAAGGCTATGGGCCCAGATAACACACCCATAGTTATACAGAAGACTTGTTCTCCAGTATTAGCTAGGCACTTATCCAATCTGTTCCAGTACCGCTAAAACATTGGCATCTATCCAGCAATCACTCCACTGATTGGTGTCATGACCAGAATAAAGGAAGATGGTGTGATGTTTGAAGGTCAATCATCTCAGTCGTTCAGTGGTTAGTGCTGCTGCCTCACAGCACCAGTGACCCAGGTTCAATTCCACCCTCGGGCAACTGTCTATGTGGAGTTTGCACACACTCCCCGTGTCTATGCGGGTTTCTTCCGGGTACTCCGGTTTCCTCCCACAGTCCAAAGATAAGTAGGTTAGGTGTACTGGCCATGGGGAATGCGGTTACAGGGATAGGGTAAGGGGATGAGCCTGGGTGGGATGCTCTTCGGAGGGTTAGTGTGGATTTGTTGAGCTGAATGACTTGTTTCGAAACTGTAGGGATTCTATGGAACTCGGTTGCAGGAAGTCACTGGAAGAGTTCCTCAGGGTAGTGTCCTAGGCTCATTAACTTCAGTTACTTCAACAATGATTTTCCCTCCATCATAAGGTCAGAAGTGGAGACATTACCTGATAATTGCACCATGTTTAGTAAATGACATTGGATCCTAGAGCAGTCAGTCAGGTCCTGATGCAATTGGACACTAGACAATATCTAGGCATAGGCTCACAAGTGACATGCAACATTCATGCCAAAGAAATACCAGTCAATTACTATTCCCGAGAAAATCTAACCCTAGTCTCTTGAATTCAATGGTATTACTAATGCTGAAACCTCCAAAATTCTGGGGTTACCACTGACCAGAAACTGAAATGGACTAACTATTTAGTCATTGTGGTTAACAGAATAGTCAGAGGCTAAGAATTCTGCAGTGGATACTCACTTGTCTCCCTAATTCTTGTCCACCAATATTGGCATAAGTAACAGGTGTGATGAAATACTCCCGACTTGCCTGAATGAATGGAACTCCAACACTCAAGCAGCTGGACACCATACAGGACCAAGTAGCCCACTCAAGTGGCATCCCAGCTACCATGTTAATTATTCACTCCCTTCACCAACAATGTGTAATGGCTGGCGTGTGTGCCACCTACAAAATGATCTGCAGCAAGGCTCCTTAGAGTGCACCTTCTGAACCTGTGATTCTTCTCCTGCCACACCCCAACCTGATTTGGAAATATGACTCTGAAGAAACAGTCAGTGGGTCAACATCCTGGAGCTCCCTTCCTCATAACACTGTGGATGACACTACACTACATGGACTGTAGTGGTTCAGGAAGACATTTAGCATCACCTTCTCAAGCACAATTAGAGAGTTGAACAATTACAGTGGCATAGCCAGTAACATCCACAAAAAATAACTTAGTGCAATTTTTGTAAGGATATTGTATTATGCTTCAATAAGCCACTTAGCACATTTGTACTTCATAGGAAGCAACTGCACTCAATCATGAATAGCAGGAAAAGTAAGGATGCTCAGGATGTCATATTGGATGCTGGAGTATTCCAGAATTGGGATGGTGTGGTATGCATATTCAGTCTTCGTATGCATATTCGAAGACTGAGAAAGGTCTTCGGCAATTCAAGGTGGATCACAATCATCTTCTAGAGGGCAATTAAGGATGAGCAACAAATACTGGCCCAGCCAGCGAGACCAGTGTCCAGTGTATTTAAATAAGTACTGTAAGGGATTTGCAAGTTGCCACTGAAAAGCAGGATAGTGAACTGAGAGCAGTTACAAACATAGGAAGTGGGGTGGAGGTCATGCTTGAGCACCCTGTGGAACAGAAGTAAGTACAGCCATATTTCTAGAAGAAGTCTTTAAAAGCATTCAAAACTGAATCAAAGTTAAACTCAGTCCTTAACCAGAAACAGTTTTTCTTCCAACAGTGGCAAGGATTCAGTCATGGTGTTAGAAATGCAGGTAAAAGACGTAACATTGTGACTGACAGATAACAGTTTATTTTTTAAAACAGCTCACTCTGCTAAAGCCACCTAATAAAGTAGCTCTGGACACATTCACAATCATTGTCTTTTGCAGCAGTCTTTCTTGCAATTTTAAAATCAGTAAAGAGAAAGGATAGAAACAGATAAAGCTTGATGTAGGTTAAAGAATTCCAGACCAAATAGACATGGTCCATGGTTTGAAAAGAATATGGACAAAGGCAAAGCACCATTAATACAAATAACCCTAATGCACCAATAATTATGCATAAACTACTTTTACCCTTTCAGAAAAAAAACATTATATGCAGATGCACAGAAGTATCACATTTTAAAAATGAAAATGAACCTCATTTATCCTGGCTTATAAATGTATAATTTCTAAACATTATGGGGCTATACTATACTAGGAAATATACTAGCATAACAAACAATTACTGAGGACATGCACTACAACTTCTGGTTGTGTATCACAAATTCCAAAAAAATCCAAAAGGGAAACAGGAAACATACATAAAGGAAAACCATGTAATAAAATTAATCAGAGCAGTACTAAATACGTAAAAAGCAAAAAAATTTGTGAATTATTTAATTTGCTTAAAAAAATGTATACAAAAGTGAAAACCATTTTATAAATACCTTTTGGTTCTGCAATTTCATCTATTGTCACAGAACTCCGTCTTCGATTGGAATAGTTGTGGTGCAAATAATGAGTTCCATCTGAATTGAAATCTTCCAAAAGCATGACGTCAGTACCTAAAATATATTGAACATAGGCAAGAACAGCAAGATTTTGTGACATTGAATATCAGAGTGATGCTTTTAGTGAACAATATTTCTAGGAGAGATTAATAACTTGGCCAATAAATTAGGAGGTCCTTTAGGTTTAGCTAAAAAAAATTCCACAAAAATCAATTAGAAGAATAACTTATTAATTCGCTGACTAACGGAAGGCAGCATACAGCATACAGCATACATGACTTTATTCAAAGCACTGAATACAAGAGCAAGGTGGTTATGGTGGAGCTGTATATAACATTAGGTCATAGGTGGAAGACTGTGTGCAGTTCTCGTCAGGATGTGACTGCACTAGAGAGAGTGAAAAAGAGAATCACCAGAATGTTGCCTGGGCCACAGCAATTCAGCTATAGAGAGAGACTAGATAAGAAAACAACCCAGTCTTAGAGCAAAGAAAGCTAAGGGGTAGGCTGATTGAGGTGGACAGAGTTCTGAAGGTAGATAGGGATAAAGTTCCTTCCTTCGTCCAAGGGTCAATAACCCAGAAGCACAGTTTTCAGGTAAAGAGCAGGATGTTTAGAGGGGATTTGAGAAAATTTTTTTTTCATCCAGAGGATTGTGGGTATCTGTAAAAGCAGGAATTCTCAAGTCATTTAAGAATTATTTAGATGGACACTTGAAACACCACAATATACAAGGCTACAGGCCACGTGCTGGAAAATGGGATTAAAATAGATGGATGTTTGATGACTGGCGTAGGCATAATGTGCCAAATGGCCTCTTTCTGTGCTGTAAAACTCTGTGACTCCAAGTGGACAATAAGACCCACCAGCTTAATGACTGTATCAGGCAGGCAGGGACGTGAGATTAGCACATCTGAAAATGCAGCACTTCCTCCTGCTAGCCTACATGACCCAAAACCTTTTGGCTTTCCGATTCAGTCATAAATGATGGACTGTTTTTGACATAAGCCTGAGGAAATGCCGTACCTCTACATTGATTTAGACTGGTGTCCTAGAAATAAAAGCTGTGTGCCAGCCCATTTTTATAAGCAATGCTTCAAAACACTAAGACTTAAAGGGGAAAAGCAGAGGTTTGGTCTCTATTCTGCACCAGGTAGATTCTGCAGTGACATAATTGTGTGTAAAAGCCAAGAAAAAGGAACGGAAAAAGAAAGTGACAAGATAAAAATCAAATGAAACAGGTATCCATGATTTCTAGTGAAAATTCAAAGAAGGCATAAGAAAGTGACAGAGAACAGATCGCCTTTTTCTCTCTCGAGAAGAGATGAGACCGAGAATAGGATAGAAATAAAAGATACAACTGAGAAAACTGTATTCACAATATTTCAAGTTCAAGGCTCTGCACTTTTTAGTCATTGGATTAACTGTAGTTGACTCATGGCCCAAATCAGCAGCAAATCCAGTTAGTGCCAACTTTTTGTGGACCTGCAGCACTTTGTGAAGTTTTGTAGATTTTGCATCCAGTTGTATGACACTTTTAATTATAAAATTACATTCCCACAGATTGATGCACAAAAAATTCCCTCTACCAGATGAAAAACCTCAAATGTATATAATGTATATACCATTAAACTTACAAATGGTTTTAGTAGCTTGAAAATGTTTAATTCTGTATATTTTTAATCATTTCTGCAAGACAAAAACAACTACTCGGATATACATATCACTTTCTACACAATAAAATGAAGCCAGGATCATTATAAAACAAAAAAAAAATGACACTGAGCCCACACAAGGCATGTATGAACAAAGGCTTGGTCAAAGTGTAGATTTTAAACGAACTTCTTTAATGGGGAGAAGGTAGAGTCAGGGAGAGATTTGGGAGTGGAACTCCAGTGCAAAAGGGCCAGACAACTCAGGGGATGGCAATTAATGGTGCAACACTGAAAATCAGAGATGCTCCAAAGGGATGCACAGATATCACACAGGACTGTAGAGATGGAATAGATTACAACCATAGGATGGGCAGGACCAAGAAGAAATTTGAAAACAAAAATTTAAAATTGAACTTTAAAGTTGATATAAAAAATGCCTTGTGTAGTGTCAGCTGTAAATAAACAGCAAGGACAATTACCTGAATCCTGAGAAAAGCTGAATCCTGTATCCCCAGTACTACTGCTCTGTCCTAGAGACTGCCCACCAGCCATCATGGCTGCGAGGTGAGGAGACAGCCCCAAATCTGTCCAAGCAATAAAGAAAATGTTATCTTCAATTTTTTTTCCATAAACTGCATAAAAGAGATTTTAAAATAAAATATTTAATTATGCAATCATATCCAATTATTCCTGCAAATAATTGTACCAATATTTGAAAAGGAGATCTTTGCAAAACACAAATGAATCAGCACTTGCGTAACTCTTTTGCAAGGCCACACACTAAGACCTTAGTAATATACTCTAATAACTGCTTCTTGCCAAACTAGACATCATTCCACCTCAGAATTTTACAATCTATAATAATGTAAAAGAAAGCACTGAAACATGTTACTAAGAAATAGGCAGCTGCCTCCACATCCTTCAAGGCTACAAGCAGAGGACACATAGAAGAGGGCAAAAGCAGAGGGCACTGTGTCAGAAGTTTTCCCTCGCTTTTGTTTGCGCAATATAAAATGTTGGTACATGCACCGGAAAAGTGAACTTGCATTTTTTAAAAGGCAATGATGGAAAAGAGGATGGGAAGTGGTGAAGAGGAACCCAAGGGACCGCAAAGACCAGTGAAACAGATATTTGCCCCTCATTGGATTAAATTCATCCTTTATTACCTAATTGTTTCAATGGAAGTTTTCTCCCAGGCAGCTGAAATGGACCACACTATCCTCCAAGGTTACAAGCACTCAGCTGAAACGTGCATGGATTAGATGATCCCTCATGTTGAGAGCCTCAAACCTCACACCAGACCTGATAACCTCCCTATACAGCCAGAGCACCTGTGCGTTCTGCACCCCAGCCCCATTCTCTTCCCCCAATAAGCAGGGTCAAATTCAGGACTTTTCCCAAGTTCACATTTCTTGGGAGTGACTGGTTAAGAATGTCAAATGCTGAATGCTCTTCTCAGTAATGCACCACTTTATGATCCCATCTCATCATTTCTTTCCCTTTATTTATTTATTCATAGTATGTGGGCATCACTAGCAAGGCCAACATTTGTTGCACATCCCTGATTATCCCACGAACTGACCAGCTTGCTCGGCCATTTAAGAGAACAGTAGAGAGCCAACCACAGTGCTGTAGATCTACGTTCACAACCAGGACACACTAGGTGAGGATGGATATTTATAACCATCATTATTAATCTAATTGTCACTGAGACTAAACTTCAATTCCAGGCTTTATTCAATGATAATTCAGCCAGCTGCCCTGTTGCGATTTGAACTCCTGAATCCATAGCTGGGCCCCCAGATTACTAGTCCAGTGACATTACCACTACACCATCATCTTCCTCTTCCAGCTGTGACTGACTCTGTGCTGCACAGCCACCTCAATCCAACTTGTCTACCCTTGGCTTAAATGTGTGGCCCTAAAGTTCCCAAGAGGCCCCTAACAAGGTGCATGCATGTTAAAATTGGCTGTATTCATAGATCAGTGACTTTCTGGGGCTGACATCCCCTGTTCTGATGAAATTCGCCAGAGGCAGGAACAGCAGCTAGAAACCAACATGCCGGGCTAGTGCTGCTAGTATATCCACCTTCCCTTCTGCATCCACCCCATTGCCCAGGTAAAACAAGTGCCCCTCGAGTTCATACCACCTGGATCCCAGATAGATTGTAGAGCTCCCACAATGCTGCTTTTACTTCCCTGCTCCAGGTGGGGCATCCTGATCCTGTGTCCTTCCTCCCTGCTGCCCTCCCTGAACAGACTGGGTCAGTGTAAGGGGCAAAAGAAAAACATGCAACACATGACACCCTGGGGCTACATCGTGTCCTACATGTAACAAATGCAGCTTTAGTGTTTATGGCAGTACATCTGTCACCAAGACATTTACCTACTTGACAACAAGCTAGAAACCACCCACTAGGTACAGGCCAATCCCTCAGGAATTTCCTACAGGTGGGACTGGCAGGTCATTGGCCACATTTTACTTGAGCAAGTTTGTTGCATATGAATACCAAGTTCCACTCAGTTTCCCACAAATGAATATTGGTTTGTGGTGCAGAGAAAGTTGCCACAGCACCAGAATGCATTAAAAGAGGATTCATATTCAGAAGGCAAAGCAAAGCAAAGCAAAGCAATCTCATGAATGCTGAATTAGAATTTTATAAGCTGGCGCAGCAGAAATATAGACCTGCAGTATACTGCCAAGTCATTGTAAAAGCATCACAATATCACTAACCTACAACAAGCTCAAACAGCATACAGACATTTAGCCCCTTGCTAGAAACAAATCTCTCGACAATTTCAACATAATTCCATCAGACTATAAACAAATTGTTAGCCTCTCAGCTCCTCCTCTCAACAGTTCCCTTTGTAGTAAACATCAGCATTCCTCTTAGCTGCAAGTCAGATGCAGTCAAGATGACAACACACTGCAAAAAGATTTCTCCCAATTAATTGTAGTTTAGATAGATTATTTGTTCCAAACTGTTTTTTAATAACTTCAGATGGACCCTGAAATAAGGCAACATAAAGACTATATTTACTGTAAAACCAAGAAGCTCTACATAATTCAGTTAGTATTTCAATAACTTATTTACTAATGCTCATTAGATCTAGATCAAGGCTGGTCAATTTCAGTGGCAAGATGATTCACATAAAACTGATAAAACAAATTCTTATACACTGTTATGAAAACATTTTATTGAAAAGAGACTCACAGAACATTTTAAACTCATCAAATCTCTGACAACACTGGTTGTTCTTCAGTATCAGTGCCTACCAAAATCTGTTGAACGCGGCAAATGAGAGAAAGGAAAAGGCAATAAACACATATTTTCATGATGCAGTCATCAGAGCAAAAGCTTTACCCACTCCCTTTCCCTCGGTTACCTGTGATCCGATTGGAGATGCTGAATAATCTGGAAGTCCTCTGACGTTGAATAAATGAATCCCTGTAGTATCTGTCACCAAAGCACATCCCCAGCAGCTCTCTGCGTACCGTTTTATTCCATAGTCCATAGATAACTGGATGACAAATTGCACTAGTAAAAGATAACCATATTACAAGTGTCTCTACTCCTGGAGAGACAGTGCCTTTTCCATGAAGTGCTTCAGTACTAATCACGACCATATAGGGGCCCCATGTGACAACAAAAGCACCAATCACAATCAGGATAGTTGTCAAGGCTTTGCATTGATTGGCTGAATAAACAATGTTATTGACAGTGTTCCTTCTGCTCCCTGATGAAGAGGTAGAAGAGTTGGAATTTTTTCTCTCGTTCTTTTTGGATTCTTCCTGCACAACTATAATCGTTCCACAGTGGATTTTACGGGCTTTAAGCCTGGCCACACGGAATATAAAGCCGTAGCAAATGACCATTGCTAAAAACGGCAACAGTGCACACCAAATCTGCCAAAAGGCAGTGTATCCTAGTTCTTTGTCCCATGCAGCCAAACAGATCCACTTGAATTGGTCAAACTCAAATGTGGACCAGCCAAAGAGAGGAGGAAGACATCCAATTAGTGAGTGCAGCCACACATAAGCAATCACAACAACAGCACGATTCCCAGTTATTTTCATAGGATATACCATCGGATAAACAACAGCATAGTACCTGTGGGAAGAAAAAGAGATTATTACAGGACAAGAAAATGTCAGTTATACTCAGCAACTGAAATACCACCTTTGCTATTTGTCCTAGTTAATAAACTAAACTCCGACAAAATTCCAGCAAGCATATTCAAGCTGAAGTTAATGAGATAGTAACAATGGAAATACTATCAATTTCAATTTAATCCAAACATTAAAATTTCACCAGATTATTCTCCACAACTTAAAAAGTTGCTCTGGTTGTGAACCAAAGAGAAGTTGTGAAAATGGAGAGATGCTATAAAAGGTGCAATTTTACCCTTTCTGAAAATAGTGAGAAAGGTGGTGAGAAGGGCAAATTATTGTAGGGTTGGTCCTGGAGAGATACACGCTGTCTTCCTGTTACCTCAGCAGTTGTGTCTGGGCAAAGGGGTTGATGGATGGCCTTCTCAACTCACCACAAAATTAGTCCTGTTGCCAGTTAATTAACGACCACTAAAAAGTCACAAGCCTACCACCAGATTTCCTGGCAGGCAAGAGAAGTGACTGCCTTTCCAACGAGGAATCCCAGGTGACCTGCCTACTGTGATGGATTTTCCATTTGCCCCAAACCAGGGAGAATTAAGGGTAGGGATGGGTAGCAGAGGGAGAACTATTGAAAACCACCTCTCTTCACTTGCCTCCACCCTGTCCCACAAAACAATCACTTGCCTGCTTGCTGGTGCAGTCCAACCACTGCCTGAAAATATGCAGGGTTTTCAACAGCAGTGTTAGCATTTACCATCCTTAACAAGCTGAACCGGATCAAAACTTCAGGATTTAGCAGATGTGCAGAATAACATGGTAATCCCGAGGGTGTGATCCGTCACTCACTGCTCTGCTACAGGTCGAACTGTGGACACCGGAAGCCAGAATACAGCAAAATCAAATGGATCCTTTACTGCTTGATTATCACTGTTTGAAACTTGATTAAATAAAGTGTGAATGTTTCTTTTAAACTGTGATCCAAATAATAATTACTACAGATCAAATAATTTGACTGCACCAGGAAAAGCAGGTTTTGTTCACATGTCTGCGTTAAATTTAATTAAACTAGATTTTGTAATATTTTCCCAAGTATTTGCTCATGATATTTCAGCTTCTATCTTAACCCCAGTGTGTATCAATCCTTAATTAGCTCTCACTCATTTTTAATAAAGGGTTGTGATTTCAGTAGATTTTATTTCCTGGTTTACTGGGAGAATTCTTAAATGTCACTAGTTGTTGCAATAACATCGCAAATCCTCATGAAACAACATGATAATCAACTGTCCACCAAGAGACATAAAAGCTCTCACTGCAGATTGCTGCTCAGTCTCTCAAAGCAGCTCTCTTTAACATCAGCATTGGTTGTCCTTGCTTCGTCATTATTCTCAAATTCCAGGCCACAGCATTTTACCAGTGGACACTGACACAGGACAGGCCAACAAGGAAAGCATTTTGCTCATGTTTCATTGTAAAGAAGATAGGAAATAAAACTAATTCCTTGACCTCATGTACAAACTACTAAAGCATCATTGGACATCAGCTTTGAGAGGAACTTGAATCCTCCAGACCATAGTTTGGGGACTCCTTTTGTTGATGAAAGAAAGGACGTGGAGAGAGAGAGAGAGAGCGAGCAATGGTAGATCCTACTCGTCCAATGTCCTCTTCACGTTTCTGTAACTCTGCAGCAATGTCTATCATATCAGGGCAGTTGCTACATAGCTGGTAACACACAATAAACTAGATCTTTGCTAAAATGAAAGCCTCTTCTCTTCAGGCCAGTAAATGCTTTTCTTCAACCCCATTAGGTCAAGCAAACCTTGTAGATCCTTACCCTAAAAGAGCACGGTGGCAGCAAATCTACACTGTGTGAGAGTATAACAGCCTCGTACACCAAAGTCGTCAGTGGTGAGGACTGTTCGTATAACATGGGGAGCAATGGTATGGATTCCATCTAGTTGGGCAGTGGTGGATATTGAAAGATCTTTTTCAGGCACAGCTTTAAGAATCGTGCAGATGGCCAACAGCAGGAGAAAGATCAGGAACTGGGAACCAATTTGATTTTTCCCCAGTTCTAGCACCACCACTGCTGTCTCAACTGAAATTAGTGAATGCAGCACAGACAAGTGGCTGAACTGGTCTCCTCTGTAGAGATCACCTATTCATTGTTTCAAACCAGCAAGTCACAGGCATGTTGAATTTCTTTTAGATTGCTAGTCACTTCTAATGGGAAGCATTAAATGGGTGAAGTGATTTTCATTTCATGAACACTTTCAAAATGGTATGAATATTTCGTAATTATAGCCTCTAGGTATACATTTAGAGGGCAGTCACTTGAAAATTTCTACCTAATCTTTGGAGGTGATCAAACCTGTTGTAGGAAATCAAAGTGACTGGGAAACACATTGCCCGGTACCCCATCTACCTCATATATGCAGTTACATCAGACAGACACACTCACATGCACACTAGGAAACATGTAGAGTCAAAGAAACCTGAGCTACTTCTAGTCAAGCACCTACATGAAAAACACTGATCTAAGGTTACATTTTTCCATTCATATTACCCTTTTGCTCCTTTCATCCACTGCTGTCCATTTTATTCAATTTGTTTTGCCATTTTTCCATTCCTACCCAATCTTAGCTTCTCTTTTCACCATTTCTTTAGATGTTGCCCAAGAATGCAGGTGTTTCCCTGCATATTTTGTATATTCACTACAAGGATGTGGATGTCGCTGACAGATCCAGCATTTTTTGCCTGTCTATAGTTGTCCTTGAGAAGGTGGAGGTGAGCTGCCTTCTTGAACCACTGCAGTCCATGTGCTTTAGGTAGATCTACAATGCCCTTAGGGAAGGAATTCCAGGATTTTTATCCAATGAAGTGAAGGTAATATATTTCCAAGTCATGATGGTGAGTAGCTTGGAGGGGAACTTGCAGCTGGTGGTGTTTCCATGTATCTGCTGTCCTTGACCTTCTGGATGGAAGTGGTTGTGGGAGTAGAAGGTGCTGTCCGAGGATCTTTAGTCAATTTCTGCAGTACATCTTGTAGATAGTACATTCTGTAGCTACTGAGCTTTTGTACTTATGTGCTTACATGCTTTCCCTTGACATGATCTCAGGTACCATATCTAATGACATCAGGCTCAAATTCTCCACCACCTATAATAGCTGCTGTGTGATGAGATTGCTAGTCTGATAACCAGTCAGGAAGGAGCCAAACTGGCTTGCAGTCAAACTATGGAAATACTGAGGTAACAGTATGGAACTGGAGGAACACAGCAGGCCAGGCGGCATCGGAGGAGAAGGCAAATTGACGTTTTGGGTCGGGACCCTTCAGAAATGGAAATACGGAGTCATCTTTGGTTGCAATACAAAGTTCTTGGCCTCAGCGGCTTTCCCTGGCCTTTCCAACTCACTGTCTGACTTGTCTGGTTCAGACTAAGGGTTTTGATATCTTTTGGTCTCCAGTCAAGCTTCTGACCGTTTGTAACTTGCATCACAATAGCTGCTTCTAGCTCCTACCTATTGCCCACATCCACTTCTGTTTCAGCCCATCTGCAAACAATTACTCCAATGCCAGTGTACCATCTTTCAGCCTCTAAAGGTCAGCTTATCCAAACCATTGCTGCCCTTACCCTACCTTCCATCAAGTTACATTCACCTCACTGTTCTTCTACTTTTACATCCAAGCTCCAATACTACAAAATATAGAATTAGAGTCAGAGTCACACAGCACAGAAACAGGCCCTTCGGCTCACCATGTCTACACTGACCAACAAACACCAAACGACACTAATCCCATGTACCTGCACTTGGTCTGTAGCCTATTATCCCTGGCATTCTAAGTGCTCATCAAAATGCTTCTTCAACATTGACAAATTACCTGCCTCCACCACCCTCTCACGCAGCAATTTCCATATCTACCTCCCTCTGGGTAAAAAGGTTTTCCTCAGATCTCCTCTAAACCACATTCTCCTCACATTAAACTTATGCCCTTTTGTTTTAGATACATCTGCCATGGGGAATGGATTCTCATGATCGACTCTCATTGTTTTGTATACCTCAATTAGTTACCTCCTCTACTCCAAGGAAAACAAACCCAGTCTATTCAGTCTCTCCTTATAACGGAGACTTTTCTTCTCAGGCAATATCCTGGTGAATCTCCTCTTCACTCTCTCCAGTGCAATAATGTCCTTCCAATTGTGTGACAACCAGAACTGCACACAGTATTCCATCCACGGCATACCGATGCTTTATAAAGTTATAACAACATTTCCTTGCTCCTATATTCCACACTCTGGCTAATGAAGCCAAGCATCCTAGATGCCTTCTTCACCACCCTGTCTACATGCGCTGACACCTTCAGGGATCTATGGACTTGTACGCCAAAGGTCCCTTTGATCCTCAGTATTCCCTAGGGAACTACCAATTATTGTGTATTTCCTTCCCTTATAAGACTCCCACAATGCATCATCTCATTTATCAGGATTAAATTTCATCTGCCACTGCTCGGCCCAATTCACCAGCTGATCAGTATCAGACTGTAGACTGAGATCATGCTCCTCACTAAAAACATTATTAATTTTCGTGCCTTCTGTAAACCTATTAGGTATATCTTCTACATTCACATCCAAGTCATTCATGTCTATGAACCGCAAGGGTTCCAGCACCAATCCCCATAATATATCACTGGTCACAGGTTTCCACTCACAAAAACCACACTATCATCATCCATTTCCTCCTATTTGGAAGCCAATTTTAGATCCAGCTTGCCAACTTGCCTTGGATCCCATGGGCTTTTACTTTTGGACCAGCCTTCCACGCAGGGCCTGCACAAAGGCCTTCCTGAATTTCATGTCAACCACATCAACTGCATTACCCTCATCAATACATTTAGTCTCCTCTTCAAAAAAGTCAATTAAATTATCACAGGTAGGATCTCCCCGCTAACAAATTCCTGATTAATCCCGGTCTTTCCGAGTATTGAATAATCCTGTCCTTCACAATTTTTTTAAACCAATAATTTCACTACCACTGACGTTAGACTAACTGATCCCCAGGGTAGGGAAGTCTAAAACTACTGGGCAATAGGTTTATGGTGAATGGGTAAAGACCTCACCATATTCAGTGGCTCCACACACAGACTGCCCCTTTGGTTTCTAATAAGTGCCACACTTTTCATTGTAATCCTCTTACTTCTAATATACTTATAAAAAAAGTCTTTGGGTTTTCCATGATCCTTTATGCCAAAGATATTTCACGGCCCCTCTTTGTCCTCCTAATTTCTTTTCTAAAGCAAGCTCCTACACTCTACAGGTTTTTTTATTGATTTATTTTTGTGGGACGTGGGCGTCACTGGCTGGCCAGCATTTATTGCCCATCCCTAGTTGCCCTTGAGAAGGTGGTGGTGAGCTGCCATCTTGAACTGCTGCAGTCCACCCATTGTCGGTTGACCCACAATGCCATTAGGAAGGGAACTTAGGAAGGTTTTGACCAAGCGATAGTGAAGGAACGGTGATATATTTCCAAGTCAGGATGGTGAGTGACTTGGAGGGGAACTTGAAGGTAGTGGTGTTCCCATGTATCTACTGCCCTGTCCTTCTAGAAGGAAGTGGTCCCGGGTTTGGAAGGTGCTGAAGACCTTTGGCGAATTTCTGCCGTGCATCTTGTAGACAGTACACACTGCTGCTACTGAGCATCATACAGTCATAGAGATGTACAGCACAGAAACAGATCCTTCGGTCCAACTCATCCATGCTGACCAGATATGCTATCTAAATCTAGTCTCATTTCCCAGCATTTGGCCCATATCCCTCTAAAACCTTCCTATTCATATACCCATCCAGATACCTCTTAAATGTTGTAGTCCTACCTGCCTCCACCACTTCCTCTGGCAGCTCATTCCATAAACGCACCACTCTCTGCATGAAAAAGTTGTCCCTTGCGTCCCTTAAATATACTTCCCCTCTCACCTTAAACCTATCCCCTCTAGTTTTGGACTACCCCCACCCCAGGAAAAAGACCTTGCCTGTTCACCCTATCCATGCACCTCATGATTCTATAAATCTCTATAAGGTCACCCCTCAGCCTCTGATGCTTCAGGGAAAATAGCACCAGCCTGTTCAGCATCTCTCTATAGCTCAAACCCTCCAAAGCTGGCAACATTGCTGTAAATCTTTTCTGAACCATTTCTAGTTTCACAATGTCCTTCCTATAAGAGGCAGACCAGAATTGCACACAAGTGGCTGAACCAATGTCCTATATAACTGCAACATGATCTTCCAATTCCTACACTCAATGCACTGACCAATAAAGGCAAGTGTACCAAATGCCTTCTTCACTATCCTATCTACCAGTGACTCCACTTTCAAGGAACTATGAACCCACACTCCAAGGTCTCTTTGTTCAACAACACTCCCCAGGATCTTACCATTAGCTGTACGGTAGTGGATGTGG